TGATTCCAATACCCCCGAGAAGCTGAACTGTCTCCTCCCACACTGCCATTTGGCCCCACTCACCCCTCCTGCCATCTGATGGAAACCTCTCAATTTTCCTCTGTGGTTACAGTATAAGCAAGTACTCTTGAGAGAAAGAGGAGCCAAGAGAAGTTTAAACTGACAGAGCTGGACAGATGGCTTCTTTCCACAATGGTAGCAGCTCCCTCTAAACAACCATCTACAAACGCCCGGATGTGCATTCTACTGTAGCGTCTCTAAATCCTTACAGCAACCTTGCAACGTTAACATTCTCATCCCCATTTTACAGACAAAGCATTGAGAGAAGCTGGTTAACTTGCCTAAGGTCACACAGCTAACAAAAAAAAAGAGAGAGAGAGAGAGAGAGAACCAGAATCTGAACCTTTGTCTCCTTGGCTCCAAACCCCGAGTGTGTGTTCACCACCGCACCACAGTGCCTCACTGGAAGCTGTCAGAAGCACTGGATAAAGAAAACGCATAAACATAAGATGTGTGATGGGCCTGGCATCCTGAGCAATGGCCACAGGAATGTCCAAGGTCAGGTTTGAGAGTATCCTGAGATTCTCTAAGGCTATTTGCTCCAACACACAATGTGACATCTGTAAGTTTTTCTGGGAAGATGGTTTATTGATCTCATCAGATTCTCAAATGAGTTTGTGGCCTTCACAAAAGTTAGGAATTCTTGCCTTGTACAAGCATGAAATGGTACCATTCCTTTCCCTTCAGCTCACCACCACCCTTGCTGCCACAACCAGGGCTGGGTGGTTGGAGAACTGAGTCAGGAAAGAGTGAATCTGCACCCTGGGACCACAGCAGACCTTCGAGAGAAAAGATGGGAAATTGCAAGAGGTCACAGCAAGTAAGTAAAGCAAGGAGAAAGCAGCAAGTATTTTACAGGAATTGGGCACAGGGGCTTGAGGCAGGACTTGGGTCCCTGAAGGATGGTACCGAAGCAAAATTTCGGTCTCCAAGTCCCCAAGATTCCAGGCAGGGAGCTAAGACAGGGACAAGGGCTCCAGAGAGGCTGTGGAAATAGCCAGTATTTGCTCACTTGAGTTGAATCCCAAGCCTGGTTACTGACCTGGGAATCGGCATATAAAAAGAAATGTTGCACAGGGGTCTTGGTGCTGAGCCACTACTACGGATCCCCCTGCCCCTTCCCCCAGTAGGGGCAGGACTGTTCCAGAGTCAGCAGTTGAGGGGTGTGAAAAAGGGAGCGTCACTTGTTCATTCATTCATCTTCAAGCATTTATTAAGCGCCTACTATGTGCTGGGAACTGGGGAAACAGAAGAGTACAAGATAGTTCTTGGTCTCCAAACATTCCACATATGGAGTTCACGGGCTATTGAATAGAAGAGCCAAAGGAATCTTGACACATGTTTTCAGCAAACAGCAAAAACCCACCATGTTCTTGCCTACTTCATTCTCATGTTGGAGCTTCCTCCTGTCAGAGAGGGGGATAATGGAAATAATGCCTGCCCCGGTCAGGCAAAGGGACCTCATAGCTCAGCCCATGCAATGGGTCCACTAAGTGAGTTCTTCCACAAACATTAGTGAGTTTTCTCATTCTTCTATCTAATACATATATTTGAAATATCACTGGCCAGGCACTGAGCTGGATACTGTGGGGGATACAAAGATACCCAAGATACACTTCCTGCCCTCGGGTGCTCCACCAAGGAGGGAGATGTGGCCACAGGGGACTGATACAGGAAAAGGCTGCAGTTGCCATCAGAGGGGATACACCTGAAAAGGGGAGATGACTTCAAGCTGGGGGCACCAGATAAGGTCTCACAGAGGAAGCAGAGGCCAAGATGCGGATTGAAAGACAAGGATGAGTTGAAAACGTGGAGCTGGGATGAAAAGGTCACTCCAGGTGGGGGCAATGGGGTGGGTGGGTCAGCCACAGGGGAGAGAGCACAGGTCATGTCTGGGGACATAACACAGCCCAAGTGGCTGGAACCAACGGGACGTGGAAACGAGCAGAGGCAACCAGGCTGTGTGGGAAGGTTATGGTCACCCTGTGAAGCCATGACTGCCAAGCTAAGCCAAGCTTCATTTGGCTGATACAAGCCATTTAGTAAAGAGGGTGTTAGACATTGGGCTTTGTAACTTCAAGAGGTTCATAATCCCACAAGGAAAGCCAAGTTGTGCATTAACTTCTCATACGTGTTCCTGAGCACATGATTCCATTGTGTATTGAGAACAAAGGGAACCGGCCGAATGCCTGCAAGTGCCAGGTGACCGCAGACCAGGTAGGACTGTTCCAGTGGAAACTGTGGCTGCCCCCCATCCCCCCGCACTTGCACTGGTGCCAAGGGGGCTACCTTCTAGGGGGTACCTTCTCTCTCAGCCAGGCCTGTGCTAAACCCTGCACGTATGTCATTTCATTGAACCTTGCCAGCAAGCCCAAGAGGTAACTTATCCCCAATCTGCAGATAAGCAAAACGAGCCCAGGATGGTTAGGTAATTTGCCCAAGATCACAGAGCCAAGCAGAAACACTCTAACTCAGAACCAGTCTGATTCTACAGCCCATGTGTTCAACCGCTGTGCCTCCTAGCTCCCTAGTAAGTAAAGATTACATTGCTAACATTAGCTCCTCCCGTTCTGGAGAAACCCAGCTCAACCCCTTCTAAAAAGGAGGCTCTCATTTTTATCAAAATGGGTGTACATTATATGCTATTGAAAGTCTATTCTCACATAAATATGTCAGCCAAAAAACAAAAGTAAATAAATTTCTTTCTTAGCAGCAGCCAGTCACATATTTATATTGTTCAATTTTCCAAAAATTCCACCACTTTTTTTTTTTTTTTAAAGGTCTAAATTGCAGGTGCTAAACATCAGATGAAGTCACGGGAAGCTCTTTTCCCTTTCTGCACAGCACCTACCTCCCCCTGCTCTCATCTCTAATTTTATTAAGATGACTATTTCTTCCTATGGACAGGAATTAAATGCTTTCAACCCAGAACAGAACAACTGACTCAAATGCAAAGTACACTCCGGACCATGACTCAAGGCATTCTTTGGGACATTTCCTGTTTTTTTGATAAGTCAAGCCTGCCTGCTTCTCTCTCTGTTCACTGAAGGTCACCACCGCAGTAATTAACCTGCATGCCAACCTCTGCATGAAGTTTCCAGAGAAGTGAACAAACATTCCTTGCCAAGGCACCACGCCCTCTCGCACAGAGCCATTTCCTTTGCTGTTTGCCTACCACACAGTGTGCTGGACCCTTAGGGACAAGGCTCCAGAGATCACCGGACCTCCTAGGACTGGACTGGCCACCTCCGTGCTGCGAGGGCCCATGTGGTGGCTCATTTTATGTGTCACTTGGCAAGGCTATGTGCCCCCTGTTTGGTCAAACTTGAGTCTAGATGTTGCTGTTGAGTCTAGAAGGTATTTTATAGATGTGATTAACATTTGCAATCAATTGTCTTTAAATAAAAGAGATTATGCTCTGTCATGTGGCTGTGGGTCTCATCCGAACCATCAAAAACTGAGGTTTCCTAGGGGAGATGGAATTCTGCCTCAAGACCGTGACATAGAAATCCTGCCCAAGTTTCCAGCCTGCTGGCCTGCCCCACAAATTTCAGACTTGCCAGCCCTTATAATCACATGAGCCAATTTCTTAAAATAAGTCTCTCAATCTGTCTGTCTCAACACACACACACACACACACACACACGCACACACACATACACCCTATGGGTTCCATTTTTCTGGAGAACCCTAATACAATAAGCAATGCCAGGTGCTCATGGAAGTAATAGCATCTACAATGGTAACACTTTTTCGATACTTCCAAAGACACCCCACCTCACTGATCCTCACACTGCTGCAGGGAAAATCACAGGGTTGGCCCAGCTCTTCCGACTGGACTTTCAAATCAGTGAACTCTCCGATTCTTTGAGCTGTTATTTCAGACAAAGGCTCAACCACTGAGCTCAGAGTCCCTCTTGTGTACCCTGGGGAATTTAGACTAGATGATCTCTAAGTCTTCCTCCAGGTCTAGTGGAATATGTGCCTTATGAAGGACCCCCAAGTCCTCACTGGCCTAGATTGCTGACATGGCCCCAGGAGAAGTGGGCGGTCCCATTTACAAAGCTCCCCTAAGTAACTTAGCTCTTTGGTAGGCAAAGTAGATCAACAAGATCTCTAGGTCCAGCCATGCATCTAAACTTGACCTCCCATTGAGAAATACTTCTTCATCTTCTCCGGGTCCTGGGTTATGGCCCCTTTGTCTTCAGAAATAGTCACAGACATATATAAAGTCACTACTATTTGGCCTGGAATATCACAGAATCCCTGAAGTTATCCACGCAGGGCTAACAGTTATTAAATGCTCTGAACTAGTCACCGTTCCCAGTGCTTTCCATGGAGTGTCTCATTAATCTTCGCAACTACCCTAAAAGGTAAATTCTATTATGATCACCCCTGATTACACAAGGAGAAACCAAAACACAGAGAGGCGAAGCAATTTATCAGAGGTCACACAGCTAGTAAGTGGAGGAGCCGGGATTCAGACTCTGGCAGGCAGAGACACAGAACAGTTGCCTGAATCGGAGGATTAAGACCAACCAGACTGACTCCTTGAAGGCTGGGACTATATTTTACTAATATCGTTATTCCCCTCAAGTAATTTCCCCATGATTTGAGTGAATTGAACTTCATAAGCTCATGGAAGTTTTTTTACTGGGGTTGCTTTAACGATTCAGTGAGAACATGAATACAGAGTGCTCGGCACAGGGCCCAGCACACAGGAAGCACTGAGCGAACAGGAGCTATTATTTTTACTATGGCACCTGCTCAGCACCTCTTGTGCACCCCAGGGGCTTTCCCAAGCTGTGGAGCCTCGCCAGAGGGCAGGGCCCAGTCCCCAGAGCAAGAGCCCAGTGACGCTAGGCTCTGCCCTGCTGGAGCCGTTCTCTCCCCTGGCTGTGTGGCCCGCGGGGGGGCTGCTGGCTTCTGGGCAGGGCTGCTTCTTCCCGGCAGTCAGCCTGGCAGCCACCAGCATCTTGGAGAATCTCCAAAGGATCCAGAGGGCCGCGAAGGCCAGGGCAGGGCCAGCAGGAGACTCCTCCACCCTCAGCACTTAGAGGGACCTGGGGGCAGCACAGAGACAGGTGGCCCGTCCGGTTCTGCCTGGCTAAAGGTGGATCTCTGGCTCCTCGCTTTCCAACCCTGGCGGGCCAACTGCTCCAGGTATGTTGTCAAACGGGTTCTGGGGAAGGCGTTTTGGCTAAATGGCAACTATGATACAAAGCAAGGCTGGTCTGTGTTTCTGAAATAGTCACTGATAGCTCTGATAAACAGAAATGCCCTGGGATTTTTGCCATCACCAGCAGTTTAATCCACTGTCCCCACTTCTCCTGCCTATACCGGGGATGGCTTTGACCTCGGGGCTCTTTAGCAAGCTCGGCTGCTCAGTTGCCTCAGGTATGAGGCAGAACTGGGAACCGGGAGTGTCCGGGATGGGGATGGAAGTAGACTTAAAGAGGAGAGATGCCAAGCACAGAGAAAGCCAGACACGCACATAGCAGGGGGAAAGTGCACGGATCTTCATCTCAGGACTGGGGTTCTAGTCTCTCCTCGACTCATCCTGGCTGCCCAGCTTTGGCCGCTCCTGACCTCTCTGAAGCTCTATTTCTTCATCTGTCAAATGAGTATAAACAATCCTTGCCCTGGACCCCAGCCAGACTTGTGAAGGACAGATGTGATCAAGCCCAGGAAAGGGCTTTTCATGCTGTTAGTGCCCTGGAGGGAGGCCCCTTCCTCAAGCCGTGTCACACAGGGGAAGGCATCGTAACGGGTCCAGTGCACTGGGACAAACCAGAGCGCATTTGGAGCCCTAGACGAGGCCTCTGAGGCCAAAGGCGTCAGGCCCACAGGTACCAATGCCCCAGGCCTTGGCACGGCTCTGGCTAGATGTCCCCAGGGCTGGATTTGCCCAAGGAAATACAATGGGAAGGACAGAGAGCCTGGATTTCAGCCATGGGGGTCTGAGGCCTGAGTCTCTGTGTGCATTACCCTAGGTGGGCCGAAAGTACACATGGCCGAGACCCAGGCCCCCACACGGGGGTGTCACAGTCTCAGCGGTGGGTGGGTGTGTCCCAGCTCTGCCTGGACCCTGCGGCGGGATGTTGACCAAGGTAACCCACCCTCCCCAAACCCATAAAAAGAGGGACTTCATTTTTTGGTGAGAATTAAGTGAATAAATATACATGAAGCACCTGGTGTGCTTACTAGCTCTCATCATCAATATAATCTGCAAATAATGAAATAAAAAAAAAAAAAAGTTCAAACTTTCCAGGAGTTTAAACTCGCTGAACTCTGAATTCACTGACCTCTCACTGGGTTTACAGCTGGACCGCGAGCTGCATGCGGGCAGGGGCAAGTCTGGCTAGTTCCTGAACAGACCTGCAGTGCTGAGTGCAGAGCCTGACAGAGTCCACTCTGGATCAATATTTGTTGAATGAATTTATGTTTGAGAGAAGCAGTAGGGAGACACGACCGTGAATGAGAGAAGGGAGGGAGACAGGACTGTCCAGGCAGTGATTCCGACCATGAGGAGAGGTAAGCAAAAAGAAAATTGTTTATTTTTTAATCATGAAAGAGAGATAAGGAAAAAAAATTTTTTTTTTTTAATTTGTAAGTTGTGCTATTGGGATCGGAGGTGAGGTAATGGAGACTCCCCCTGCCACTCAAATATTAGATTTTTAATAGTTTTCATGCAATACGTTAGAGTTTTAGTCTCCACTAATGGCTCGGACTCAATTATCAGAGGAATGAGTCACCGCTAAGCTATGATAGCTCTGAGCTTCTGAGTCACAGCAAGTCATAAAGACTTTCATTACCCTGTGGGAACTCACCCCTGGAAGGCTGCATTTTGTTTTTCTTCTTTTTTTTAAGTTCTTGTGTTCTTGGTACATGTTCTTCCTCTCTCAGCCTGGGTCCAAATGATCCCCACACACTGAGCCACTCAATCCACTCAGTGGAAAGAGAGCGTTCGTAATTCGACTTGGTTGTTTTAGGCAGACGTTGCGTGTTACCTCTTTAGCCATGCTGACCTTGGGGAATGCACACGGGAGACTATGGAATCAGACAGTCCTGAGCTGAATCCTGACTGGTTCCTGCCTCTGTTTCTCCATGTGTAAAATGAAGATGACGTAAGACCTACTCCTTCAAAATGCCCATGAGGATTAAATAAGACAATAGGCACAGGTAGGGGCATAGCATCAGGGTTTCATAAATGGTGGTGGTGGTACAGCAAGTGGTTGGTACTCAGCACCCCCCCTGCCCCAAGCCAGAATCTCCCGAAGACCTAAGTAGCAATGAACGCTTACAGCATTTTCTATGTATGTGCTTTCCTTTTACTCATGCTGATCCTCACAACTACACTCTGAGGTGGGGACTGTTACCCTGCCCATTTTGTAGATGGGACAACTGAGGTACGGAGACGCTGGGCAGCAGTGAGTGAGAGGAAGACCTGCACTCCTCACCGCGGTGGCTGTCCTCCCGCTGTCTGTGCTGTATAATAACCGCACGCGGCTGTGTACATCTAAATCAATGAAAACTAGAAAATATTAAAAGTTCAGTTCCTCAAGTGACACTGGCCACATTTCAGTGATCAGCAGCCACACGTGGCTCATGGCTACCATCGCGAAGAGGGCAGATCTCAAACATCCCCCCCATCCTAGAACATTTCAGGAGACAGCTCTGATCCAAATAGTCGAGCACACAAATAAGTGACTGCCGAATGAAGTAAATAAAAACGAGTAAATCTCTGCTTTAGTATCACCACACGGACTAGTTGTTTTGACAAGAGATGCACCCAACCTAGACCTGTTTTCTAGATTCGTAGCTTCACCTTGGGAGAGGAGAGCATAAAAGTCTGGCATCAGCTGTTCTCGTTTGATTTGCAAACTTCTTACTTCCTTAGTCCCTAACCTAGACCACTAATTTTTCACTTTGCCACGTGCAAAGAGGGAAAAACTTCAAGAGGTCAGGTCAGAGTAAACATCTATTTTTTTAGGTTTATTTATTTATTTTTCATAATCTCTACACCCAACGTGGGGCTCAAACTCACAACCTCAAGATCAGGAGTCGCATGCTTTTCTAACTAAGCCAGCCAGATGCCCCCAGTAAACACCTATTTTTAGTCCAAGTACCTTAAATACATCACCTCATTTGACTTTTACAACCTTCAAAAGTAGGTCTTATACCCACTTTACAGCTGGGAAGACTGAGATGCAGAGAAGTTTCTTGCCATTAATAAGACCAAAGCCCTACTATCATGGTCAGAGGTAGGTTGGGGCTCCCCTTCCTTCCAGCTTCCTTTGTGGTGCAGCTTAGTGGATTCCAAACAGCCTGTGGAAACTCTGAAGTCTTAGGTATTCAAGATCAGTTTTGTAGTTTGTGGGCAGAGGGCCCTGGTTCCATCTGGTCCCTCTGGCCTGTGAGAACCTGACTGTCACCGGTGAAACCCCTTGACCCCTGAATTGACTGACTTCCAGGAAACTCCCAGAAGTTTCTGCCTGTCAATTTCATCTTTTTTTTTTTTAACATTTTTTATTTTGTTATGTTAATCACCATTCATTACATCATTAGTTTTTAATGTAGTGTTCCATGATTCATTGTTTGCGTATAACACCCAGTGCTCCCTTCAGTAAGTGTCCTCTTTAATAACCATCACCAAGCTAACCCATCCCCCCAACCCCCTCCCCTCTAGAACCCTCAGTTTGTTTCTCAGAGTCCATAGTCTCTCCTGGTTCGTCTCCCCCTCTGATTCCCCCCCCCTTCATTTTTCCCTTCCTACTATCTTCTTTTTTTTTTTTTTTTAAAGATTTTATTTATTTATATGACAGAGAGACACAGCGAGAGAGGGAACACAAGCAGGGGGAGCGGGAGAGGGAGAAGCAGGCTTCCCGCGGAGCAGGGAGCCCGATGCGGGGCTCGATCCCAGGACCCTGGGACCATGACCTGAGCTGAAGGCAGACGCGTAACGACTGAGCCACCCAGGCGCCCCTATCTTCTTTTTTTTTTTAACATGAATGTATTATTTGTTTCAGAGGTACCCTCCCCAGTGTCTATCACCCAGACACCCCATCCCTCCCACCCCCCACCACTCCAGCAACCCTCAGTTTGTTTCCTGAGATTAAGAATTCCTCATATCAGTGAGATCATATGATACATGTCTTTCTCTGATTGACTTATTTCGCTCAGCAAAGCTAATGAATGAATTGCTGGAACAGGAAAAGAAACATGTGAGGATCTGTATGCAGATAAACCAGAAAGTGCCCAACAGTTACCTCAGCTTCACTATAATGTTAAAATCCCCCTCTGAATATTCATCCCAAGCTCTAATAAAAGGAGCCGCCCATGCCTTTGGAATTATTTCCATGATCTCCTTATTTGTACGAATGCAGATGACATTGAGAGGCAACTCCACATGGTGTAGTCTTTGTCTGTAACTCACAGCAGAGGGGACTCACTTTGGTCTGGTATCATGACCAGAGTGAATCAGATGAGGAGCTAGAGCCTTTCATTCAGTAACTACTTATTACTCATCTACTACCTGCCAAGCACTAAGCTAGGTGCTGGGGAAAGAGACAGTCTCTGACCTCATGAAGCTTACTTTCCGATGGAGGAGGCAGACAGAAATCAAGTAAGCCAGCAAATATATAACTATGTGTTTTGACAGGAACCACGAAGGAGTATAGGATGGTAGGAGAGACAAATATGGAGGGACCTGTTAGGACCTCTGGTTCCAGCCCTGCCCTGGGGAACCCAGACCAATCAGAAGGCCTGGCATTGCAGGGGACCAAGGCTATTTCCCATCTGCCTTCAGCTCTGCTATGGCTCTTGGCATGAGCTCGGCCACACAGACATCACAGGGCCAGGGCTCCAATGGCTAACAGGTCATCAGCCTCGCTCAACCTGCTGCTGCGCGCCCCCCCCCCCCCTTCGCAGAAGGGCTTGCCTTGCTGCCGGCCACTGAGGCTGCAGACTACGCTGCTGAGAGCCTCACTCTGAGTTCTGAGGTACGTGGAGCTGAAAATCCACGTCAACAGAGCGTTGCTAAGAATCTACTATGTTCACATCCATTAGGATGACATTATGGAAACAAAACCAAACCAAACCAGAAAATAAGTGTTTGTCGAGGATGTGGAGAAATTGGAACCCTGAACATTGCTGGTGGGAATGCTAGTAAAATCATGCCGTCAGTATGGAAAACAGTGTAGTGGTGACTCAAAACATTAAACACAGCATTACCACACGACCCAGAAATTCCAATTTGGGCTTTATGTCCAAAAGAATGGAGAGCAGGAACTCAAAAACAGTATTTGTACACCCATGTTCAGAGCTTCATTACTCACGGTAGCCAAAAGGTGAAGCAACCCAAGTGCCCACTGATGGATGAATGGATAAACAAAATGTGGCGTATACATACAGCCTTACCAAAAGAAAAAATTCGGACACCTGCTACAACACAGATGAACCCTGAGGACAGTAGGCCAAGTGAAATAAGCCAGCCACAAATGGACAAATATCGAATGATTTCACTTACATGAGGTACCCGGGTAGTCAAATTCACAGAGACAGAAAATAGAGTGATAGTTGCCGGGGGCGGGGGTGGGGGTGGGGGATGAGGAATTATTATTTAATGAGTATAGAGTTTCAGTTTGGGAAGATGAGAAAGTTCTGGGGACTGAAGATGGTGATGAAAGCACAAGGACATGAATGTACTTAATGCTACTAAACTGTATACTTAAAAATGGTTACAGTGGTAATGTTTATGCTATATACATTTAACCACAATTAAAACAACAGCAACAACAAAGAACCTATCATGGGCCTCCTCAAGAAGTTACAATGCGCGCTCAGGGAATCAGACATTGGCTCTGCCTTCCCCCTGCTTGTACGCCACAGCTACCAAGCAGCCCATTTCTTTTTTTTTTTTTAATATTTTATTTATTTATTCATGAGAGTCAGAGAGAGAGAGAGAGGCAGAGGGAGAAGATGTGGGACTCGATCCCAGGACCCTGGGATCATGACCTGAGCCGAAGGCAGACGCTTAACCATCTGAGCCACCCCGGCGCCCCCAAGCATCCCATTTCTTCATCTAAGCCTGGGCCACCCCTCAGATGGCCCCCAGGGTTTTGTATGCCCCGCCCCAGCAGTGGGGTGGGGGAAGGAGTGGGGACATAAAAAGGGGAGGAAGCTAGTGTTTGCCATACAACTACAGATGGTCCCTGCCTTGGGAGGGTACAACTTAATTTTTCAACTTTATGATGGTGCAAAAGCAATTTGCATTCAGTGGAAACGTACTTTGAAATTTGAATTTGGATGTTTTCCTGGGCTAGCGCTCTGCAGTACAATACTCTCACGGTGCTGGGCAGGGGCAGGGAGGGGCAGGGAGCACGGCTGCCAATCACGCACACAATCACACGCGCAAACAACTGATACACTTAACAACCATTCTGCACCCAGCCAGCCATTCTGTTTTTCACTTTCACTACAGTATTCAATAAATTACATGAGATATTCGATACTTTATTATAAAGCAGGCTTTG